TTAGTTTTGACAATAAAATTACAAATCAAGGCAGAAAAGTGGTTCTTTTTTTGGATAATGCACCATGTCACTCATTTTACGAAAACTTGAAAAGTGTAAAGCTTCAATTCTTGCCTCCAAATACTACGTCTGAAATTCAACCTCTAGACCAAGGAGTTATACGCTACTTTAAATTAGAATACCGATGTTTTGTTTTGCGAAGACTCCTTTCTATTATAGATTGTGATAAAAATTCATCACAAATCATTCAATCTATAACAGTATTAGATGCCATTCGGTGGATTAGTCACGCCTGGGAAAATGTAAAAGGACAGACAATTGTAAATTGCTTTAAAAAATGCGAGCTAAGCAATACAGCTTTAGAGGCCACTATCGATGCAGCTGATTTAGAAAATGGAGTGGCTGAACTTTCAAAAGCTGCTGCAATTCAATGTGACCCAAATTCAGATAAATATGAAAATGGGCTAGAATGTTACGATGATTTATCGGAAGATTGGGAGAAAAGATTTATAGATAATTTAGATACAGGTAAAATATTAATATTCATTGTTTTAAGTTTTAAAAAAATACAATACATATTTTTTTAAACTTATTTGTTCAGTTTTTTCAGGAGTTCAGTCTGATTCAGATAATGAGAATGAGTCCCCCGTGCCATATTTATCAAACCAAGAAACGCTAATAGAAGTAAATAAACTGATATCCCAATCCAAGGCATTAATAAATGATGCGAATTTAACTAATTTGTTTTATAGAGTTAAGGAATCATTAAAAACTAAAATTGTTTGCTAAAAAATTTTAAAAAGTAAACAAACTTCAATTGAAAATTTTTTAAACATGTATAAAAACTTAAAATGTTAATAAACAGTTTTTTTCTACATAATTTTTGATTTCCTCATTTTATTTTTTGGTCACCCCCATTTAAGGGCCGCCCCCCATAAGGGCCAATTTTCAATGGAACGACAGGTGGCCCTTACCGAGAGGTTTCACTGTAATTAAAACTTGGAGCTGCAGGGAATGGATAAACATATGGCAAGAATGATAAGGGCTATAAGCCCGTTCAGAGTTTTGTGGATATCGCATTTGAAAATGAAGTCTCTTGTGCGTTTTCCATACATGATCAATTTGAAAGGCACTTTCATCAATTTAATATCATCGAGATATTTGATCACATATTTTTCAAATCCTTTTACCAACCAAATAAACGTAACCGCAATAGCAACATACATTTCAGAATTTCTTCAAGTAAGGCGAGAAGAAGTGGAGATAGAAATTTTGGATCTTCAGAATGACATTATCCTCAAAACTATATATCAGATTCTGGAATATAGTTGTCAGAAATAGATTTCATTCTTAAAAAGAGCAGCATATAAAATAAAGTCGTTTTTTTGGTTCCACAGACTTGCGTGAATCATTGCTTCCGACAACAAATATCATAAAATCGAAATATAGATCACGACTTACAGATGAATACCTTGACGATTGCTTGAGAGCAGGAATTTCACCATATTCTCCCAATTATGAAGCTCTGGCCAGTGAAATGCAATGCCAAAGATCACATTGACTGTGTTTTATATATTTTATAAATAATTTTTATACCACGTATGGTTTGAAGAAGCAATTTAGTAATAATTTATTGTACACAAGAATATTATTACTAATTATATTCCTAGGCTAAATTAATTTTCAAAATTAAATTTTTTGTGCAAAACATGGAGTGTGTATTATTACCTATGTCTATCAACTATAAATTTATCTTAAAAAAATAAATGGTGCCCGCCATTCGACCGATATTCTGGTATTTGCTCTTAGGTACAAAAAGGTTGGGGACCCCTG